AATTTCTGAAGTATTGAAGAGAATGGGAGCTTTTCCCTTTCTGCGAACCACAAATGTAAAGTTTACCTTATCATGTAAACAAAGACTCAGTGCAAAAGCTCAAAAACAGGAGTTGTTTTCAGTTGATGTTGAGATAATGCATTTATTAAGATCTTCTTGAATTTACTAGATTTTATGCGATGCTAACATAAGCAGATGAGATCCTGCTGTCTGTCACTTCTGGTACTGTACTATGCTATACTACACTTTTCAACAAGTACCATATTTTAGAATTGTCTGAGTGTGTGTCACCGAGACGCATTCATGCTCGCCCTCGCTTCGGTTTTCATCTACATTCCTCTGAAATCCACATTTAGCCAAGTATTCCTAAGCATCTTCCAAGAACTTGAAAAAACGCTGAGTGTAAACTCAATAGCAGAAAACATGTCACTGCTGTCCACAACTATAGGTAAATATAAGGCAACAGATTTAGAAAAATAAAACTGGAATAGATTCTTCAGCTCAGATACAGCATGTACTTTGGATAAAGAATGTAGGGTTTTAAGAAGTTAAGACTATCTACGTTCTTGTACTAACAAAAGGTAAAATGCTACTCTATTTTAATTTTATTTTTATGTGCTATCAACATCTACAAGATCAGATTTGAGTGTTCTGAAGCCTTCTTTTATCATCTGCTCATGTACATAAATCCATTGTAGAATCTTACTTCTTCCCCAGTGGCAATCGTACTGCCAGAAACCATGTTCTCTGTGGATGGTTGCTAGAAAGCCTAGCCCACATTCCAACTGCCTGCTTTTTAATTGTATGTCACATTCCTAGGTTCTTATAAATATACTACCAGCATCTCAGAAAGCAATAAAGCAAATGTTGAAACTACATAAACTTTAAATCATTAATTATTTTTCATTATTATTAATACCTTCCACAATAGCTGTTTATATATACTGACTGATATGTAGAAAGGTATATCTGAGTATCTTCGGAAGACACACCTATGGAAGTATATATGCAAGATATGTCTCAGAAGTAGCATGTCCCAAATCACTTACATTCTAAAATAATAGAAGAGATATAAAAAATAAGAGATATGAAAACTCACTTTGGTGCTGATATATAACCCATGTAAATAAACTTTATTAGAAAAATAGCAGCAGCTGAATTAGTGCCTTACACTCATTTGTTCTCATACCTAGATTCCTGTCTTGGTACTGCATTGTCCAAACTGGGTTCAGACTGATTCTCTGCTTTCCAAAACTAAAGTTTTCTTCTAATATGAAAAAAGTAACTTTCTTCCTCCCTTCCTTTTTCATCTATGAAAATACCTATATGATTAATTCAGTAAGAGCCCTTTTCCCTACTTCCTGTCAGAAATCTGTACACAGTTAACAATCACCACTTACTAAAATTGTGCATGGAAGAAAAAGCTACCACTTGCTACGACAGTTATCACAGAACTTCTTACTTAATCTTAATTATTTATTCATTGTTTAAAAGGATATTTCCTTGCAAATCCTGTGGCTATAGGCAATGAACTTTAGACACTTAATGCCTAAGGAAAAGAAACAATGCACTGACAGATTTAGAATCCCGATGTGTGCTTATACATTTCAAAAGCAAAACATCATCATAAGCAGTTATTTTCAGGGAAAATGACAGAGGCCAATTCCATCAGAATGTTCTGCAGTTTAAATGGACTGCCAGCCTTGCTGTGAAACAGCCTAGAGCTGAAAGGTATGTCTGTGTTGACATTATATTCACAATATATATAGTATTCCAAAGTTCATTAACTGATATGCACTGTAAGATATCGAGAAACCAGGGGACGAGAGTGTGTAGAAAAAGGGAATGAAAAGTATAAGAACACATCAGTAACCAGACTAGCTCTTTATATTTTACAGTCATGATCAAGAGTACCATAAATGCAATAAATAAATGCACTGATTCTTTATTAAATTCACTAATTTACTTTTCCTTCTACATTTATAGTAGGGGCATGCAATCTGTACTCAAAGATGGCACTAGAGTTACATGTATGCTTACAAATTAGGTTGGCAGCCTTTTTTATTTGCTTTCATTTTCCTTTTCAAAATGCTCCATGTTAAATTTTAGTATCATAGTTGCAACATTAATGGTATTTCATCTTTCAGCTTTCATTGTAAATGTCATGAAATTTGCTTTTGCGTTTTATTTTCAGATTCTAAATTTGATGGTTTCCTTAGAGTGGGAATTATTGAGTCCTGTTGTTACCATCAATATTTTTCAGCTTTTCTATGCAGAGGCTGAAAGAGCCGGGAAGATATAACAATAGCAATGTATTTATGTCCCAGGGTTTTTAAGCCAATTTCATTTAGAGCCTAGTTAGGGACTATGAATACCCAACTTTAGCAATTCTACAGCTGAGAGGGATCACTATGATCATGCAAGCTGACCAGGCCAAATTTTTTCCCCAATCTAATTGTAAACAATGTATTTTTTTAAAACCGCGCAAAAAAGAATCTAGTCTTAACTAAGGGCTTGGGGGGGACAGACGTAGGATGACATCCTTCTAATAGACCACTACCTATCTTAATTTAAAAAAAAAAAAAAAAAACAAAAAAAACCCAACCAAAAAAACCCCACACCACAAACAACCCCCCATGCCTTAACTGTGGCCATATTTGTGCAATTTGCAAAATAATGGAACCCAGTTTCAGACATTGGATCTTTTTAAACTTTTGGCAACCAGATTATAGAGCCTGGTCTTAGTAATTAACTAGACATCAACTAATTAATCTTTTATCATCTCTTGAATAAGCTAAAAGGACTGAGCTTCTGGAGTCTTTCAGACTAAGGCATATTTTTCAACCCTTTAATGAGTCCTATGAGTCTACATTACAAATCATTAATATACCTACAACTAGAAAACCCAAAATGAAGGAAACCCCTTAGAATTACCTCACAAATAAAGCATCCATTTTTCTACACTGACTTGAGACTCCTGTGTTTAAATATTCAGTGATCACACTTGTCTGTTTTCAACTGAGTTTGGGCTGTCGTTTTGCCGAGTAATTCAATAAAATAAAACATAACCTGGAAACTAACAACAGACATTTTCTAGAGAAATGGTGTCATGCAGACACTTGGTTGTAAACCTATCAATATCTACTGCCTGTACCCTCAGGCTAGGATTTAATTAACATGTTATCACCCTTCCACATTACAGCACTGGAAAAATGGGCAACAAAAAAATGTAAGTATACAGACTCTTCTTGGTAAGAGTAACATTTCCAGATATTGCCAGTCTCCAAGCCAAGACTATCATGTTCATGTGTAAGGAAAATGTCAGCAACAAAGCAGATTTCAGTAATCGGAATACATTTAAATTATTAAAAAAAAAAAAAAAAAAAAAGCTTTTCTGCAGCTGCATAAAGTGATGAGTTCGGCTGGTTTCAATTAGACAAAGTGGAAACAGGAATCATCACACAGCTCTATCTTCCCCATCTCTACAGGCAGTGCCTGTATTAGAGGCCAAACCAAGATGCAACAAGCCCTTTGACTTTGGCCTTTAACTGTAATTAATCAGCATATAAAAATGTATTTATACATAGCAGTACTACATATCGTGTAACTGAAGGTCCTTTAGTTTTACTGCTCTCACTAATTATTCAGGTTAAGTTGCTTCTCCAGAAAAATATGATTGCCTGATCTCTATATCCGTTTGCAACCACACTTTTTTTCTCTATTTTTTCCTGCTTAGCAATTCTGGAATGAATTACTTTCTAGACAGGTGCAGTTAAAAAAAAATATTAGCACTTGCAAGAAATATGGTTTGGTAGCTTTAGAAGCTTTAAGCATTTTCCAAATCTTTTCAAAATACCCTATATTAATCATTTCACAGCCTTTCAAATACTCACTGGGAAGCTTTTATTTTGTAATCCCTAATTTGAGACATTACTGTACAATTTTTGGCTTCTCAAGATTCTCACATCTGAATCATAACTTTGAAGAGAAGCTGTCATATCAATTGCTTCTCTTATCAGCTGAACATATCCAAATCAATTCTTCTTCCATTTGTGATAACACAATATCCTTGCATGAATTACCACAATTGCTAGCCTGGAATGTATTACAGGGAAAGCACTTAACGTATTTTTAGCTGTCTTTTAGTATAGTTAAAACACGGAAGGGGAACCAGATAATGAGATTAGGCAGCTCTCTACAGACCAGTGACAAATATACTGTAGACATTGTTTGGAAACTTTGGCCCTTTCCTTCTTCATTTTTATTTTATTACTGGCTTGACAAAAATAAATAGATGGGTGCTGCATAAGCACCATAAAATTAGAAAATTCTGCTGTCTGAATAAAGGGAAGTGGCAAAAGGAAGATGAGTAAGCACATACCTGAGTTCAGTTTGCATTCCAAATTTTTAGACCTAAGTACATCACTCCTAATAAGTATTGTAGCTGTTTGTTAGTGCTATGTGCTGTCCAGCACTTATAACAAATAGTCAGGGAAGCAGAAATTTTAAATGTGGTTTATTCCTCTTAAATATCTGAAAACTCACAGGAGCTGTGTATATAGTCATATACAGCTAGAGTTGTTCCCAGAAGCTCGGGAGCATAAATTTAATAAAATATTTGCCTCCCATCTACCCTGTATCTTTCAAAGACAATTCTAGCTCTCAGCAAAGACAGAACATAATTTACAAGTGACAATGTAAGATCTGTTAAACTGATTTGGAGATTCTGGAAAATATAAGAATAAACACATATAAACACATTCTGCCGTATTCTATGGCAGAATTTATGCAAGTCTAATATGCAAACCATTGACCATATTACATCACTAAATTGCCACAGAACAAAAGATATTACAAAAGTCATACTTTAAGCATTCTTTCACTGAAATTTCAGTTTAATTGCAAACTGGAAACACACACACAATATATAGTTAATTGACAGCTTCATTTTAAAAGCAAGAGGCCAGTGGAATGATGAAATAAAACAGCTCTTTTCTTACCCTTATTGTACATATTGGTCGGTACTTGGACATCACTCAGACTGATGTTCACAGGCAAGTTATTGAAGTGGTCATTTGGCACTAGAATGAACTCCTTCCCCAGCTCCAGATAGTTTCCTTCTTCATCTCGTTCATTTATGAGCACAGCATTGAAGTATTCATACTGCAACAGAAACCAGCATTCAGAATTCAAGTACAGCATAAGAATATGTGGTTTGAGTATTTTAACTTATCAGTCCATCGATTAACATGTGCATGGATCTCCATCTAGAATAAAAGAACGAGATTTTTTTTATTATCTCAGATTCCCTCTACACTCCTAGTACAGATACATTTCTGAAATCAGACTTACCAACACATCTCAAGAAAACCCCGTATAACCTCAGGTCTCTGGCTACCCTGAAAATGTTAAGGTCAGCCCAACAAACTCTTTGAACATAAATGATATATGCACTATTTTTAATACAAAGCTCTCTATACAATTATTTAATTATGATCTCTCTGCTTAGCTTATTTCCATCAGTTCAAGAACTATCAATGTTGAACTTAGGTTTTGACAATTTAGAAGTGTTTTTACTTCACAGGAATATTAACTACAGCTGTTGTTGCTTGCCCAGTGTGTACTGACCAACATTTCCTAGAGAAAAATATTTGCTTAACACTGAATTTTACAAATGTACATCATAGTAGGTTTTGTAAAATTATGCATATTTTAATATGGGCATATAAACTTAGCAGTGACTTATTGTGAACGAGAAATTATTGTCTGCCTGTTACAGATTCCTGAGGAATATTCGGCCTATTTTGTACAGAACTGTAACCAGATAAGCAAAAGCAATTTAGATAAAATTATTGATTTCTTTATGACCTAATTTAACCAGAAATTCTATCAAGCTTTGAAGACAACAAACAGTGAAGACTACTCTTTAACCTCTTAAATAACCTTAACCCATGGCAACAGTTTGTGATGTGTTTCTTAATTGAAAGGGACCAAAGCTTAGTGTCTTTGAAGAATCTCATTAATTTAAACATTGGCCACTGCCCTAACTATCAATTTGAAAGTAAATCAATATAAATAATATTTAGACATAAATCTATGTGTTCATAGATCATATATTTCTATACAACCTGTAGAAGGTTAAACATATTATATCATTTACAAAGCCAAAACAGACCAACAAGTACAAAAACTTAAAAGCCTTTTCACAAGCACTCTTAGTGTGGTATACAACTCGTTCTACGAAACAAGAAGTAGTTAAAATCTTACAATCTATATGCTTCCATTAAAAGTTTTGATAATTTAAGCAGTATCTTCAATGGAGGCTTACCTGGAAAACAGCTTTCTATATCCTGCTCTTTTAGCTTTTAGATTTTCAAAATGACCAACCCATACTTTATATTTTAGAAAGAAGAATACAGAAGAAGCCACTATATATTAGCTACATTTTGAGTACCTTCTGTGTATGACACAAATATTCAGACAAATTCAGTGTTCCATGTACTGTTAATCACATACAGCAAAGACTGAGACACATCAATATTTAAAAATCAATTTAACAGAAATCCAGAAATTATTCTGACATGGTTAAACATTTGACCTCAAAGATATTTTACTTTAATTGGTTTATACTGAGATGAGCCAAATAATCTATTGCATACGTTTCATGAATATATACAGCTATTGAATTTCTAAAGTTCTGCAAAAAAACCGCAGTTGTCTTTTTTTATTTTTTTTTTCTCCAGGAGCCACAGGTACAGAAAAGAGTAGAGATACAATTTGTCTAAAGTTGTAGTTTCATTGATTAATTATTTCCAAAAGGTATGAGAAATCTCAAACATCCCCACAGACGCTAACCTGCTCTATACCATCTGGGGAATTGTCACACTTATAGATTTGATTCTTTTCATACCGAACACAAAAGGATGAAGAAACGTGATCATTTCCAAGAAACACCAGTACTCATTCTATTTAGGAGAAACCTTCTCCATCTCTGATTATTATCCAGGTTTATCACAGATCATTAACTGCATTTTTTTTGCCGCCCACATGCAACAGCAGCTTTTTCAGTTTACCCTTTCTGCAAAAGCCAGAGACAGTTGGCAGAAGACCTGAAAGCCCAACTCGTATTTCACATTTTACTAAGAAATAGAATATTCCTTCCAACATTAAGCCATGTACTAATGACTATTGTAAAATGCAATTCTACTCCAATTCCAAGCAAGAAAGAAGTAAGGTCTGCAGCTTTTCCATGATATATTAGGTAGTATTTAAGCCTGGAAGAAAGGCTGATATTCCATCCCCTGGGAGTACAGTATTTCATCCTTCTTTCTTGCCAGCCACCTCTCTCTTCACACCCCCTGGACAGTTAAGTTCCAGAAGGGTGAGGATGACTGTTTCATCATGTTTCCAAATCACTTGTTTTCTTGTCCTTGAAGACAAGGTTTTGTTTTCCTTTTTCTCTATTGAACATGGCATCACCTCCACAGCTGCTGGAGCTACAGATAAGCTGTTGTGTTGCTTCCATGACACTTCTTGGCTTTGTAAGTCTTATCAGGATTGCCACAGAAAAGTCAAAGGGGTTTTGGTTTTTTGCTTCCTGATTAAAGACCACCATTGAAAGCATTCACAACACCTAATGCAAAAAGCTGTATTTAAATATTACACTTTATGCAAAAGGTGAATACATTTGGAGATAAAAGATTCTGTGCTAAAATATGCAACATACTGTTCTCCTTTAACTGAATTTAAGCTACATACCGTGGAATAATTTCTACAGTAATTCACATATACACTTAGTGATTTCAAAGATGTAATTTTACCTTGACCATGGGTTTTATAATACTTTAGAAATGGTAGGAAAAATGAACAAGTTTCAAGTAAGAATGTCAGAACATACATAGAAATCACCTCCAAAATAATATTATTTCCTTTCATTCAGTGGGTTATTTCCTTTTCCAAAGGAGTTAATTATTAGACATCCTCCTTCATCATGTTCTGTATTTGGGAAGGGTAGCCAAATATTAAAATCTGCTATATTCTAGATAAACAAAACCACTTGTTTCACAATTAAGGATATTTAGGACTGATTGTTTCTTTGGTGGATTTAGCATTCACTGATTTATTGGTTTGAGTTTGTATTTTCTCTTTTCATTTCTACAAGTGTATACACAATAATACGATTTATATGGGGTTTTTTTAAAAGAAATTGTAGCATAAAATAGTCCTTATGGTATTACAGATAATTAATATTTCCCTGGGGCTTTTTTTCTGTTTGATTTAGGGGGCTTGGGGTTTGTTTTGTTGGGATTTCTTTGAGAGTGAGAAGCCTACCAAAATAACGCATTTAAGACAGTTCTGCAAGTTCTAAGGATTAAACATCAAGTAATATATACAGCTAAAAAATACTTCTGAAAAAGATCAGAAAAAGCATTTAAACAGGGCTGTTATACAGTTGCTTCTTTTGGGCACTTTCCTTCCAAGAAAATCATTGAGTGTGACAGCTGAAAGGTGATAGAAGGAAAATTAAAAATAAAAATTGGAGAAAAAAAATGCTAAAGTAAATCCGACTGGCA